CCACCATGGATTTTGATTTCTTCTCCCCTGGATTCCATACCATTGAGTAAAATCCAAAGAATGAAGTCAATGTTTGTCATGCTGCTTATCCTCAATTATCATAAAAACTTGGAAACTAGTATCTTGTTTGAATCTTTTTCATTTTGGGTTGGGGTGGGATAAGAAGTGAGGTTAAGTATTACCTAAATTGATAGAATGTCATATGCTTCTCTTGGCTGGGTACTATAAGCTATTAAAGACTACCAATATAGTTTGGCTTCAACTTGAGTAGAGAAAAGCTTACCGACATCTGGGAGTCCTTCTTTGCGTATAGTAAATGTCCGTTTCCTTTCATGATCAAAGATTGCAATCACATCTTTCGAATTAAGATAAACCCGATCAACCTGCAAAATTGGAAAGCATCTAAAAAGAGAGAACTTTCTGCAGCAGCACTGATGAAGTATAGTCATGCACATCTATGAGATCTATATAATGTGGTTGCATATAGAAGTTCCTTTTCCTATTTTATCACCGGAAGGTTCCTTTCTAATAAGCTTTTAAATATTACCTCAGATTCAAATGTTAAGGCATCTCCCTGTTCGGTGAAACGTTCCTTTTGACATAAGTTATCAAGATAGTCAAGAGTCTCCAGCCCTTCTATCCGCACTTCACTGTTAGAACAAATAATATGCTTTATTAGTGCTGATCATCATTATACAAGGTTTACTGAAGCTTTAGCAGCATTTCCATCCCTAACAATAGCTTTCAAAATAGATGCTTAAAAGTAGAATCAATCATATTACCACTATGAATATTCATATATACCTGATATCAGAGATGGAGAAATATGTATGGTAGGCAATTGAGAAACTAAATGGCTTGCAATTGATATTCCTGATGCGTGAAATCATTGTAAGATACCCATCGGCTGCCAATGACACCCTAAGACGAAACTCTAAACTGTGAAGGACAAATCCAGTCATTACAATTAAGTACAACTTGACAGAATAATTAGTCAAATAATTTTGGTGAGCAATTGGTCCAGGCTCTACTGTTCAACATTATGCAGGTTAGCATCTTTGAGATGTACTCAATTAATTTGCAGGCGCATAATGGTTTGTAGCTATATAGTTAGATCTACCTGTGTGGCCAGGTCTTCAAATCTTCTTCAGATGACTTAAGCAGCAGATCAACATACGTCTTTCCAAGGGAATCACTGGGATGCAAAGGTGGTGGATTGTCATCAATGACCCAAATCTTGTTCCTGGCAAACCCATGTTGCTCTAGTGATCCTCGGTTCCCAAACTAACACATATTGGAGAGCAAACTCACAAATTAGGCATGTCAAGACTATGACAAAACTAATACATTTGAGCATCAAAATACCTGTGGAAAGCATATGGGTATTCCTCCTCGCACTGCATGTGGCGGCTTGAAGATTGCCTGGATTTAATAGAATTCATAGACAGAAGAGACAAGAAATTGGAAAATCAGTTAATGTTTATAGGATTTATAAGATATATCATGCTTTGACACAATAGTAAAATATCACCCACCTGGAATACCTATACTACAAATTAAGTTACAATGAAATGGAAAATAGAAAATTCAGAAGTTTACCTTAGTACTTGTGAATAACAACTCTTCTCCCCTGTCGGTTCTCCATGAGAGCACCTGTCCTCCATGTAAGCTAATCTGGAAAGATGTCACAGCATCAACTTATGAATCAGAAGATGTATTTTTCTAAGCTAGCCAAAGCAGCAATTGGCAGTCAGAATTTTATAACCGAATGAGTTGGAAAGATTACAAGATTAAAATGAGTAAAAACTAAAGAGGAAAAAGATTCTGACCGTTGCAGAAGCCCCTCGAGGGTTCCGAAGCACAACCTGACCGATTCCATTTCTATCCTTGGTAACTTCAACTGCTGGTCTCTGATCATTGGCTGCCCCAGAATGATTCATAGTGAAAATACAATAAGGACAATATAAGAGGAAACAAACAAGACAGAACTCTCTCGCCCTCCTTCTCAATCCAAAACACAATGATTGAAGCAAACTTTGGAACTCCAAAAAGAAATGACCTGGGGATTGGTTGGATCTACTGAGTAGTACAAGAGTTTTTGTGATCGAATCCGGTTCACATCAGGTGGGAAATGTTTTGGCCTAAATTTGTGAGCTTGAAATATTAAAAAGAGGGCTTTGCAATCACTCAAGCAGTTTAGAAATCTGAACTTGCCCCAACACTTTTCTTGTGACACACCAATATTGTCGTGAAATGAAACTGAAATTCCAACTACTTTTTAGTCTTTCTTCACCGCCAAAACTGCCAAAAACACACAAGTCTTCTCAAAGACTTGATCTTGGTAATATGATTTCCTTTGCAAACTACCCAGAACTCACTTTCAAACATTATCAATATCTATCAAAGCAACAGAAGAATAGAGAACGAAGACGACCAACATTAATTACCCAGATAGACAAAACCTGTGTTAATGTCAAAGCTAGAAACCAAACAGCGGTTCCAATAAGGCCAACAGTGGCTAATTCGCACTCAAATTCCTTCAACTGCCCGGTTTCAAACAAAGACAACTATGACCAAAGCCGTTATTATGTCTACCAAATGGGAAGAAGAATTCTAAGGCAACAACTTCATAACTAAAAGATGAAAGGTCAAGAAAATGTTTCTGAATAAAGTGTCATCCAATATCTGGTCCGCCTTTGTCCCAAAAATAAAGAAACATTGAAAGGTCAGATTTTGAAGAGATCATTATAATATCATCCTCATGTATATCTAAGAAGGTGATTGACTGATAATTTGTTGGTAAAAAAGTTTTGATAAATCCAAATCTTATCAAATCAGGATGGATGCGTCAATTTGCTCAGGCGGCGCCTATAATATTTCTATGATGATCATAGTTCAGTGTGCGATGTTTGAATTTTCTCTGATAGTAGCGTGCATATTTTCTAACCCAAATGCCAAGTCCTCAAACTTGTTCCATTAGCTTGTCTCAATCTCTTAGTTTACGCAAGTTGAAAAGATTGCCATCATCTCTATCGTTTTGTTTAATCATTCTTGCCTTTATTTAGGCAAAGTTTTAAGGATGCCGAAATTAAGGACCACAGGTTACAGACCCAGATGATATTTTCTGCCTTCTGTTGCCACAAATTAAACTTAAAAAAGAATTCCTTTCTTTAGTCAACACAGTACGAAGGTATGGGGATTATTCAGAATCCATTTCACTTCTCGTTTCAATGCATGCATGTATCTAGTTGTTGAAAAAATGCCCCCTTCAGCATTCATTGTTTGCCCCACGGCAGAAACTTTGGCACACAAAAAGGCAATATATATGAATTCATCTAACATGTATTCCAAAGGCAATATCTATGAATTCATCTAACATATATTATTGGATTTTATAAACATCCTTTAAAGATGTAAAAGAAAAGTATTTTTATAAAATATTCAATCAAGTTTTGACCTACCCTTTTGAAAGATGAGAAACAAATGAAATAAGAGCTTTTAGAAAGTCTTTATTTATACTTGAAATTTTCTTCAAGGAGTACTTTTCATATTCACTGGTACCTCATATTCAAAGGAGATAAAAATCTTATTGGAGAGAAAATTCCAGCCATAGAAAAAGCTCCATGGGTAAAATTTATCTACATGGGCCAATGACTAGTCCGGGCCCCCGGGGCGTATAAAAACTCATGGGCCCAGAACCGATCTTTGAGGATTTGGGCTCAGGCCCGAGATTGCCTGGCCTTGCCCACCTCTAAATTTATATATTCGAGACCATATCTTTTCATCATATCAAAATAATTAAATTAATTTAATTAAAACCCAATTTTAAAAGGAAAATAAAAAGAGAAACTATTTATACTCCAGTATTTTCTTAGACATTAAATGATTATGCCATATTTGGTTCCTCTTGAAAGATCTAGACATTAATGAGTCTGCCTCATAAGGAAGAACACTTTTTTGTTTAATTGAAAAACTTCATTGTTATTTATTTTTTTTGAAAGGAAAAAAAAAAAAGTCTATGCTAGGCAAAGTATAGGCTGAAGAACAAAGTGCTACAGTGAGAACATAAATTCCATGTAACTGATACTACTCATCATAATTGGGAAAACAGGCTAAATAATTTATATACCATACGGTACCTGAAGAATGCGTCCAGTTTCTGTTCTCCACTCCACCAATAAAGAAGCACCAAAAGCAAAGAATTTTAGTTATGTTGAACTTGATAAAGGTTCAACCAACATGCATCAGAACCGGGGAAATGCTTGACATTCATTGACTCTTATGTACACATATCTCTCAGAGTATTTAGTATTTTATCAGATGCCAAAGAAACAAAAGATTATCACTAAAATGGATTTGAATCAAACATATAAAACTGCCTTAAAAGCACTTGCATAATAAAAATTGGATAGGCATGAGATATGCTCTAGCATAGTGGCTCGAATGCACGAACAATGAATCGCGAATGCACAAGAAGATGTCAAATCCACGACGAAACAATTCACAAAGGAATCATCAAGAAATTTTATTTAAAAAAAATCATTCATCATTGTTTGTAGAATAACAAGCCTATTTATGCTAAACTAATCCTAATGTTACTGGAACAAGAAATAAGAAAATCCTTATATTATGTATCACTAGAACAAGGAATTATATAATAAGAAAGTAAGGTTTAACTAAATTGAAACTTCCTATATAAACAACACTCCAAATGAAATGAATAAACTACTTAAATTCCTAAAATGAAACCCTAAATAAATAAGAAAGGGAAACAACGGGGAATCATAATTTAACCATAATTTTCCTACCTCACCAAAGGACTCAATTGCACAAATTCACTTCCTCCTTTTCAAGAGTGAATGAGTGATGCTAAATTTGTGAGTCAGCTATAACATTTTTCCAACAATAATCCCCACAAGAACAAACTCCACCTTTAAAATGATGGAACCTATTAGTGTCTCTAACAGATATGTCTCTTCTCTCAAAACTGGATATAAATTTTATAACAACATGGCAATCAAAGAAGATTCTTGAATCCTTCCACACTTTGCATACATATCAATTAGTGCCCTAGACACGGAAATAGCATCAGATATTCCTCTTCTGATAGAAAAACAATGAGCCGCCTTCCCGAGCATCAATGCTGCAATACTTCCACAGGCTGATAGCAAGCAAGGTATTGTAACACTGTTTGGCAGCATCCCCGCCGTCAGCATCTCTCTAAAAAGTTCCAATGCCTCAATACCTTTCCCATTTTGTGAGAAACCAGCAATCATTGACGTCCAAGACACAACATCTAATTCCACTCCTTGGCTCTGGAACTGCCTAAAGACCTCCAATGCATGGTCAACAAGACCATTCCTACAGAGACCAGTAAGAAAAGCACTGCAAACAACTGCATCCAAATTTTCCATCTCATGAAACACTTTCGACATATTCCATGTACACGCACACTTTCCGTACATATCAATAAGTGAAGTACTGACGCACTTGTTATCCGATAACCCGTCCTTAATCACAAAACCATGAATCTGAATCCCAAGTTTGGGATTCTCCAAGTCGCCCACAGCGGAAAGAACACTAGAAACACTATGCTCCTCCGGCGTAAATCCTTCAAAATGCATCCTTTGAAACAAAAGAACCGCCTCTTCATGATGTCCACTATCATTAAACCCTGCAATCATACCATTCCAAGTAAACACATCGGGCTCCACTCTTAAACGACCCATCTCGTTAAAGAGTTTTTTCGCTGCATCCACGCACCCTTGTCACGCGTAACCCGCAAGCAGAGCACTAAAAGTTTTCACATCCGGTTGGGCTAATCTATCAAACACTTTGTGAGCGTCCCCAATCCTCTGACATTTAACGTACATATGAACCAAAGAAGTATGAACAAACGAATCTAAATTAAACCCGTATACAGACACCATTGCATGAACTTGTTTTCCAGTTTCCAATGACAACAATCCAGTGCAAGCCTTAAGGATATTAGGCAACAAGTAAGTATTAGGTGCCACACCGTGAGAGAGCATTTGCGCGAATACACGGAGTGATTGAGTAAAAAGGTTTGTGCCATCGAAGTCTTGGTGATTTGCATATTGAGACAGAAGCTTTGTTGCGAGATCTGTGTCATTAGAGAGTCCAGTTTTGAGAATGTGAGCATGCGTTTGCTGTGTCTGTGATAGAGATGATTTGAGTGAGTTGAGCGTTGAATGTTTTCGAAGAGAGGAAGAGCTTGTTTCGTCAAGTGCATCATTCGTTACAGCCTTATTATTCAAACGCGGCTCTGATTTGTTCACGCAATAGTAAGTTAAGTTTGCCTCAAAAGGCAAGATAATACAATTAAGTTAAATAAATAAAAGCTAAAAATAACGAGGATGTGATTTATTTATTTTTAACTATAAATAGATAAATAAAGCCTTGTTTCTCGCCGTCCATTCCAGCAAAGAGAAGTCGAGGAACACACAGTGAAAAAAATGCGCAAAGTGATACTTTTTGTTTAATTGAAAAACTTCATTGTTATTTATTTTTTTTGAAAGGAAAAAAAAAGTCTATGCTAGGCAAAGTATAACGGGTTAAAATGTTTGATTATAAGATAAGTACTTATTTAAAATACCAAACTTTGAAGGCCCAATAAAAGTTGGCTTAGTTTGTACTTTGGGATTAGCTAGTGTTTCATCTTCACCTCTTTTTGTTTTCCTTGTTTTTCTTCTTTCGCTTCCCTTGTTTTGTTGGAATTAAAGCAGGAAATGAAGCCTCCATTCCAGCTTTTGCCTCTAGCAAGAACATCTGGAACCTCATAGTGTTAAACGCTGAAGGTTTTAACAGAGAAATAAATATAATAGAGCATAAGTGGGAAAATCAAAACAATTGAGTATCAATTAAATAAGTTAGAAATTGGAAAATCTTACCTTGTCCAATCATAAGAGTTAACAACTGTGATGGAATCCAGTGCCAATAAATTGCCTGCAGAGTCGAATACAACAATTCATTAGACTGCCAAGAAAAATATGTAGGCAAAAGCCTAGGTTGCTTTGGAACTACCTGGGGGAAACCCATAGTTCTAGTAACAACAATGCTACGGACACTGAAAAACTTGTACCGAAATTGTGTACCGATTTACGTGTATCAGGTCTCTGATTTTTTTAACAATTTTTTTCTAGTGAACAGCTGTCCATCAAATTTGGACGGCCTATGGGCGGGAGTCCATATATAAATGGGGACGCCCGTCCCTGAATAAAATACAATTAAACAAATTTGTTAAACATTAGGGACGGTCGTCCACAAATAATGGACGCCCGTCCTTGACCCAAATATGAAAAAAAAAAAAAAAATCTTTGGGGATGCTCGTCCACTAATTGTGGACGACCGTCCCTTACTTGTACTCATTCAGCTCATGCAGGTCGTGCTCATGCAGTTCGTGCTCATGCAGTTCGTTTAAGTAAAGCTCATGCAGTTCGTGCTCATGCAGTTCGTTTTAAGTAAAGCTCATGCAGCTCGTTTTAAGTAAAAATCATTGTGGACGGGCGTCCATAAGTAATGGACGCCCGTCCATTCTTTATGGACGGTCGTCCAACTTTTATGGATGCCCGTCCTTTCTTTTGCTTTAAAAAAAAAATAAAACAAAGGACGGCCGTCCATAAATGGTGGACGACCGTCCCTTTATTGTGGATGGGCGTCCATAATTAATGGACGCCCTCCATTAGTTATGGACGACCGTCCGTAAGGGTTGGACGACCGTCCCTTATGTAAAGGACAGTCGTCCCACCCTTATGGACGCCCGTCCTTTACTGTAATCAAAATAAAATAAAAAAAAGTCGCGTTTTAGGTTAAAAATTTTGGGGAAGTTTCAAAAATTAAAACACCAGCCAGCCATTACCATCTTCTTCGTCTTCCATCTGCGTTACTGCGTCTTCTTCATCTTTGCGCTCTTGTTCTGGATTCCTGTTATGCGCTTGTTCTTCGTCTTGGTAATTAAACACTTTCCTTTTTCAATTTTTATTTTCAATTTTGTTTTTTTGGTTGGATGAATGTGTTGAATAGAGTTGAGTTGATGAAATGAAATCCAGTCAATTTGGTGGGACTGGTTTGTGTGATTATGAATAGAAGTGTTCTGCCATTGATAAAGAGAAATGTAGTTTATTTTACGTGCTGGTTTGTGTGAACTACCGTGAATGGAAAATTGATTTTAGGCATATTTTAGGTGCAGCAGCAGGTAATTTGATTGATATCAAGAATCATAGTCTTCCATCCTGTAAGAATAATTAAGCATTAAGAATATAATTAGTCTGAAGCAGGAGCTGTCCAATGTATGCTTTTCACTAAAGATCAAGTATTCTAGCATGAATATAGAGAATGAACCAAAGGGGCAAAAGAAATTATAAGTATCTGTACTGTAATTACAACTACAAAACCTAACAAATAAGAACTAATATCACATACATATTACAGCATACAACTATTTGTCAAAATTGTCACTTGCTTACCACTAGAGGATGAACAAGTGAAATTGGGTAACACCATCAGACTTGTGTTGTAAGCAAAAGAAAAAAGCTCACCAGAATACTGTGAATCTCTTCTAGAAAAGGCCCAAGTAATGAAATCAAAGTCTGCATTTCCTTTTTTAGGGTGTCATAGTTTTCACCTTTTGCCAGGAGGAGATTGATGAGTTTGTCTTTGATGTTTCTGGATTAATAGTCTATTCCTAAGACCTTTGTCTCTTTTGTAGCATGTTCATTAACAGTAGATTAAATGATGGTAACAAACTCATATATCAGTGCCATGCAGAAATTGATGATGAGCTGAAAGTGTATATGTTAAGAGTAATTGGGTCTGTGTCTTTGGCAGATTATGATGATGATTTTTTTATGTATACAGGTTTTAGAACAAAGCAGAAAATGGTGAGGGCAAAAAATACAACCATTCCTCAGGAAGGCACATCCTCATCTGCAATTCAATTTCGAGACTTGCGACATAAAAAACAATACGAGGACGTGTCGAAAAGAGATATTTGCCTGGCAGAAGTTGGATTTAGGACTTCTAACAAGTTAGGTTTAGGTGATGAAATCAATGGTTGGATTAATCATTTGAAATGGGACCGTTTGGTCAGTATGAGATATGATGGATATAGACATTTGATATATGGTTTTTTGGTAGTTTGAAAGTTGCAGAGACGATAGTGATCAGTTTCAGGCGTATACAATGTTCTTTAGATTAAAGAATCAGAACTTTGTAGTGACACCACAAGATTTAGCACCTGGATATGATTGATTGTGAAGGTTTGGAAAACGTAGTAGAAACTGGGATTCAAACAAGCTTGGATTGATGTTTCCGGGATAGGGACTTACCATCCACATAGGTGTAAATCTACAAAGTTACAGGATCCACTATGAGAGTATTTCACAGATACTTGACTTTCACATTTAATGGTAGGAAAGAGACAAGGAAATGTGACGGTTAAGGATTTAGTTCATGGAAGCAGCGTAGAAGGGAGGCAAGTTAATTAACGAAGTTATTGATTAAGAAGTTGGGAGAGATCACGCAGAAAAAGGAGAAATATATTGGGGAATGCTTGTACGTTAATATGGAGAAGTTGAATATGAGATCACCCCTGATGATGCAACAAATAAGATTACGTTTTCTACAACTAATGTGTTGGGGAGTTGACATTGAATAGAATGGGTTTGATTAAAAAGAATGTGGCAGGACAATGGTTTCTGATTAGGGATGAAATAGGGGAGATGCAACGGTCAGGAAGGTGTTAGGATTCCAGAAGGGGTTAATGAAGGACATGTTTATGTGCGCAAAAGAAGAAAAACGAGTACTGAACCTGGACATCTGAGAATGTAGAAGATATGGCTTCTCAAACTTTACGGAAATAGAAAGCAAATTTGAGCGGATGGAAAAGTTTCAAGAGGAGCGTTTTCCACGTATGAGAGGCAAATGCAAGAACAACATGATCAATTGCAAAGTAATTTCAACACGTTTGCATCAAGAATTGAAGAAATAGTTGACATCATTGGAGACCGCTTGACAAAGATTTTCAGCATTATGAAGAACTTCTCAACAGTCCTCATCCTCCAGTCAACCTCCACCCCTGCACATGATGAAGAATTTTTCCCTTTTGTTTATAAATAGATTGATTGAACGATGTGTGTTAATAAAGATTGTTTTTATTTATAAATAAATTTGTCTTTTGTATAAATAGATTGTCTTTTGTTATACATATGTCAACAACTCTTTTCAATGTATATGTATATGTAATACTAGACATACCGAAAGACAATAAATTTCAAATCTCAAAAGAAATGCATATCCTAAATGGCATGTACAACCGGAGTCCGCAATGTGACGCTAATATATACTGAAAACATTCATAATAAGTTACATTAAAGTCATTATCATGAATTCACTACCCTACATAACCATGTGAAAATACAAAAAATAAAACAACTATATAAACATACAACTCAACTGCATTCGGTAGAATGCAATTCTACCAAATACAATTCTATAGCTTCAACCTGGCCAAAAATCACACCATCTCCAACGAGACATGTCATCATTTACAAACTCTGTCGAGTATAGAAAGTACTTTGTCTTGCAAGATTTGGAATCGGACCAGTGGACATTGTCATTGTTTAACAACACAAATTAGCACACGTTATAGAAAACTTAAGGCAATTACAATTATCAGATATACATAAGCATAACACATACCTGGTTAGTAACAACATCGTTCGACAACACTTGAGTTTCCGCATCGGTCACGGAAGTATATGAAAGAAACTGTTCCTTTGTCGCTGTACCGATGATCCTTTTCCTAAAAAGTATCATACACATTAATAATCAAGTCGAATATTCTAAACTTCAAATAAGTAAATAATGTTTAAAAAAATACTCAAATAATGTATAAGTCATACCAATCATTGTTTTTGTAATTTTTTCTTTTTAACCCTACGTACAATTTCTTCAATCTTCGATTGCTTTCTTCTACATGGAGGACGACCTTTGCTACGAGCTACGTCGACTAATAATAGGGTATTCCCCTCTTTCGGAGGACTGTCCCATCTTGACTAGTCAAACCGGTTCTGGAAGAGATGTTCACTGTTGTACCAAGCCCCACTTTCCTTTTGCTCCAACTGTTTCCTCATGTCAATCATAAACTCCGTCATCATATTATAATCTTCCCATTGTTTGATGCCAGATCCGCTACTGTCAGTATTAAATTAGACAATTTATCAAAACATTATCCTTCAATGTTGGTGCTCCACCTATTATAACTGACTTAATTCGTATGACATCTATTCACATTTTTCCTCCAAAGCCGTAAATGTACTTTTTCGGAAAGTGTGAAACCCTTTTATGAATCAACACCATAATGACATGTCTGCATAAAATCCCCTGAACTCAAACAAATGACAAGTACAGTGAATATCACACGAACTTTCTTCAAAGTATAGTGCATGAGGAACACGACAACTATTATCTCCAAACCAAACATCTTCCCAAACTTGAAACTCCTCGCATGAATCACATTTTTCAGAAAAGATAACTCACAATAAATCTTCCCCGCAATCTCATCTTGAAACTCTTTAAACTTTGCAGTTGTGTATGCACTTTGAAATTGTTTCAATAGGGTAATTGTTATGCATGGTATCCAAGATTTGAAAGATCTAAAATTAGTCTCCCTTTCTTTTTCACTTTAGCTCGCAATGCATATCATATTGTTCCACAAATTGTTTCAAAGTGGTTTTGGAATTGACATACCCATCAAAAAATGCATGCATACTTTCACTACGTGGGTAGTAGACATACCTGCCCAGAAAGTATCTTTAAGAAATGTAGGCACCCATCGTACTCTTTCTTTGTACAATCCACATAACCATGCATTCTCGTGAAGGTTGTGCACATCAACAAATTGGTTCCACTGTCTTCGAACTCTTCATGCGTAAAGGAATCATACAAAACATTTTACAAAAAACTTGATAGTTTCATATTCTTATACCCCCTTAACTTTTCAGGCAGTTTCTTCATATATGCCACAACACCCACTATGTCTTGTACCAGGGAAATAATCTCAATTGCATTTTGCATGGCCTTATCTGATCAGTGATTATTCCATTAGGAGCGACATCTATGCATTCAAGCCAAGAACGAAATAGCCATACAAATGTCTCAGTGTCCTTATGAGAAATTAACCCAAAACCTAAAAACATTGAATGTCCATGATGATCAACCCCCAAAAGCAGCAAATGGCATGTCATACTTGTTTGTCAGACACGTTGTGTCGAAGGTGATAACATCACCGAATTCTTTATATGCAGCCTTACATCTAGCATCAACCATAACACATTCTGTAATCGACTCTCTTCATTACATCAATCATGTACAAGAAATTTGAATTCTCCTTTTGCATTTTCCTAAAATACTCAAGTACAGCGGAAGCATCTCCAACTCCAAGTTGTAACTTTCTCACTTTTTCCATGTAGTTCCTACATAACTTTTTCTAGAAACGTCAAATTCTCTACACCTCCTGCCTCAACTGAACATGACTGAAAATTTTTACATGGTCTAATCCCAGCCACATCATTAACTTCAAGTCACTTTTCACATAAGGTTGTATCGTCGGTTAATCTTGAAATATCTTCTTTTTGTCGGACTTGTAAGATCATGGTTATGTTCAAGTACAACTGATTTAATTTCCATTTGCATTCCACATTCAAAGCACACTAATCCGACTTTACAATCTGTTTTGGCAACATGTTGTTTTTTCAAGGTATTTCTAGACTTACATCTCTCTTTCCAAAACAAGAACATACCACTGTCACAATATCTCATCTCTCCATCTTCGCCTTTCTTTGATTACGTATCATTGCTTCAAATCCCATTTTGTTCCATACCGTTGTAATACTTCACAGACTATCAACTGAATCAAACACCATTCCAATATGAGGCTCTACTTCTTCCTCTGCATATCCCATATCTTCAATTCATCACGTTCATTTTCCTAATTTAATAGTTTTATAATACATAAAATTAGAATGTACTAATACAACACATCAAAATAAACAATACGATACAATAAATTTAAAATCATGTTAATGAAAAAGTTAAGGTTTCAAGCACAATTTACCTCAACATCATTGAAATGAGGCAAACTGAATCTTCAATATTCTGTAATTTAATGCAAATCCAATACTAGTGTTCACGTTCACGAAATCTGATTCATAACAATCACCAACAAATTTTCTCTATCAGTTTTTTTCTATTGTAACATATATTCAATCCAAAATATAATACAAAACTAAATAAATGTATAAGTTATATATAAATTTCCACTGTAAAAAACTAAATAAATGCATAAATTATATAAAAATCGTTTATTAACTTGTACAAATCTTTCTAATCTCCCTTTCCACTGTAAAAAACTAAATAAATGCATAAATTTTATAAAAATCGGTGAATAACCTGGACAAATCTTTCTAATCTCCCTTTCCACTAAAAAAAATGGTTTGATGAAAAGTTTATAACTTTCGTTCTTCACACGGTAGCTGGAAAATGAGGAAAAAATGTTTGTTGCAGGAAGAAATGGCTGAGGAATGCACACGCAACACAAAGGCGAAGAACAGACGGCAAGGATGAAACAGAAGGGGAGGACGAATTTTGGCGCTGGTTTTCTTTCGCTCGAAGAATTTTGGCGCTTCTTGTTAGAGAAGTGTATTGGAGAAGCTAATGTAAACAAAAAAAAATTATTTAAAAAACATTTAATTTTGTTTTTAAATTTTAATTACATTAAAGGACGGGCGTCCTTAAGTAATGCACGCCCGTCCATTCTTTATGGACGGGCATCCATAAGGGTGGGACGACCGTCCTTTACATAAGGGACGGCTGTCCATAACTAATGGACGGGCGTCCATTAATTATGGACGCCCGTCCACAATAAAAGGACGGTCGTCCTTTGTTTTATTTTATTTTTTAAAGCAAAAGAAAGGACGGGCGTCCATAAAAGTTGGATGGCTGTCCATAAAGAATGGACGGGCGTCCATTACTTATGGATGCCCGTCCACAATGGTTTTTACTTAAAACGAGCTGCATGAGCTTTACTTAAAACGAACTGCATGAGCACGAACTGCATAAGCTTTACTTAAACGAACTGCATGAGCACGACCTGAATGAGTATAAGTAAGAGATGGCCGTCCACAATTGGTGGACGAGCGTCCCCAAAGTTTTTTTTTTTTTTTTTTTTCATATTTGGGTCAAGGACGGGCATCCATTATTTGTGGGCGTCCGTCCAAATGTAATGGACGGCCATCCCTAATGTTTAACAAATTTGTTTAATTGTATTTTATTCAGGGACGGGCGTCCTTTAAATGGGGACGCTCGTCCTTTGTATATGGACCCCCGTCCATATAATATGGACGGGAGTCCATGTGAGTGAACGGCTGTCCAAATTTGATGGACGGCCATTCACTAGAAAAAAATTGTTAAAAAAATCAGAGGCCTGGTACACGTAGGCCGGTACACAATTTCGGTGCAAGTTTTTCGGTGTCCGTAGCATTGTTGGTTCTAGTAAATAAAACTAAAAATGCAGCTGCCTTCCTTGAAACATTTTCAAAATCAGGATTTCCTTCCATTCCTTTTTGTATGATGCACTGAGAAAGTCCAATATAAGTAATTAGAACACAGTAAAAAATCTAAACATGTCTGAACTGTAGGTTTGAAGCAGACAGAGGCATACCTTTACCCTAATCAAGCAAGCCATCCCAGTCAAGATTGGGAAGATGTAAAAACTATCCGGAATAGACAGATCTTGGAACCATAGTGGTCCAACAGTTTGGAAAGTTGGAACTTTCTTTCCCATAATTGAAATCTGTTGGGGAGGAGGAAGTTACCAGATGACAAGAAAAACATGAAAGTAAAAGATTAAGTTTAATCAATTATTTGATAGATATTATTAGAAAACAAAATCTTACCGCAGAGTAAAGGGTGAGCGAAGTTGAAACATTAATACCGATGGCAAATATTGACTAATATTTCTGCAATTTCGAGTTTCAGTTAATAAACAAGAATGTGTGATAAAATAAAATTCACAAGTGGAGAATGGACACAAAAGTACATGTAAACAAAAAGAAAATTGTTAAAAAACTACTTACTTCGTAAAATACACGAACACGAGCACTTGTACGTAAACATTACCTAGAGACATACCGCTCTTCACCTGCAAAGCAAAAAAAAAATTGTTCATGTATCACAAAGAATATTTTTTGCATTACATCAAGCCTCACTGTATTCACATGGGAAAGTCTAGTGTGAAACAAAATCTCCTATAAGAACTTTCTACAATAACACAACATTTTTGTCGTAGATTCCACCATCCTGGTTTAAAAATCTACCTAGATGTTGCAAATATGACGAATGACCACAGGCTTTACACGTCAAGCATTGAGTGCGGATAGCAATTTCAAGGATCCAGCAATTTATAACACAAGATAGAAGAAACAACCATGATACCAGATGTATCAACCATTGCAAGAAATCCTTCTGTTGTTGAACCACTGACTATAGAGCAAACATGAATAGCAAAGATAAGCATCCATATATAATATAACAAAGTAATGTCAAAAAAGAAATAGTTGTGGTGGAACCAAAAACGACACATGAGTAAGAGAAAACCCTTGCAGTAATGAATACATATATACTTTCATGTTAGTTGGGGCTGCTAGTTGTAAAACCAAAAGTGGAAGTGTTGCACTCCGTATCAACATAGTAGTCAAAAATATGGAAACCCACTTGATAAACTTAATAATCAATACACATCCGAAATAGAAGAAAAAAAAAAAAAATCCATGGCATCTCTGAAAACCTTGCCAATACTATAAGCTAAATAAACAAAATATGACATATTGCATTTTCAAAGAGCATATTCATTAGTTACAAATTTATTATATTAAAGGAGCAAAATCCAACATATTCCACAGTAACCCTAAACTAACTAAGGCCTTAACATGCATTCCATTCGGATATCAACTAAACAAATGCAAATAGTTCCTTACTAGCTAAAGCGGGTGAAGTCATGTACCATACTGATAGCATGCTGCATCACTTCGATAGGAAAGAAAGAATCAGTAGCAGCAACAACAGTTTCATTGAGCAACCGAGTCTGGTTAACAACCGCTTGTAAAACGTTCCCCAAACCATCTCCGACATTACTTGACATGTGCTGACAGTAAGCAGAACCAGCACTTGGCGCAAGAACAGAGTGCATAGTTCTTGCACCGGTGAACAAACAACCAGATCCATACAAGTTGCTTCCAAAGAACCTTGGCTGAAACAAATTTTCGTTAGGAGAGTTATGTTTGCGATCGTGAAGATAATGAATGTAACTGATTGAAGGATTGTAACGCCCCACTTGAGATACGTAGTTAAGACTTGATGAATGGCTTGAATGTTTATTGATTTACCCTCATTTGAGTTTGTATGTTGTTAATTGTTTGGTTTGGTTGAGTGGTTGCCCTGAAAATTGTAAAGACTTGGCAAAATTTTTGATGTTATAGTCTTCGCCGGGGCGAAAAAGAAGCTTCGCCACGGCGAAGAGGTGCTACAACCCACGGTGTAGCTGCTGTAAGTTTTCGTCGGGGCGAAGAAATAGCTTCGCCGTGGTGAAGACTCGGCTGAAAATTTCCTTGAGTTTTTAGAGAATTCTTCCTTTGGGGCACAATGACCATTCTACCCCTTATTGGCAGGAAAAGTAGGGATTGAAATATAAGGAAATTGCATGGAGAATAGTTTATTTGGGGGTGCATTTGCAAAGAATTAAAGGATAAAGATGGAATTCCTAAGAAACAGTAAGGGTAAGATGGGAAAGAGGGGAGAAAATATGAGATATTAAGGGTTTAGTTTTAGAAAACCTTCTCATTTCTTTCTTTCCACTGCCTCTTTCATCCTTCAATTCTCTCAAATTTTCATTCAACTTTTCAAGGATTTTTGGAGGGTTTTTGGCTAGAAGTTGATACAAGTTGATCCTAAGCACTTAAAGGTAAGAATCCTTACTCTAGATGTTAATTTTATTGGTGTAAGAGTAGGATCCTTATTGAGTTTGTGTTTAAGGTTTAAGAGAAAGTATCAAGCCATCAAGAGTGGAGAGCTTAAGTGGATTTTGCTTGAGTTTAAGGTAAGTAAATCCACCTAAGTGTGATTTGCATGATTGAATGATGTGTAGAGATTTCTATATGATTAATTGATTGAATTTTTATGTTTGTCATGTATTGATGGATTTATGAATGAGTTTATTGTTGTTTATGAAGAGAATTCCACCATGAAAATAGTAGATTGTGTTGATAAAAGTTGGTAGAAGTATGGATAGAATTGAAAGAATTTTGAGAGGAATATTTGAAGTGTATTTCCTTTGCAGGATGTGTGATGAATTAAAGGAGTTGAACTCCAATTTTGGATGGTTAAGAAAGAAGTAGAATTATAGTAAGAGTAGAGTTTATGTATGCACAAATATTGTTTGATGAAATGCCTAAAAGAAGCATGAGTAGAAGTAGAGAACCTTACTTTATGCAATATATCATATTTGCATTTCATGAATGCATATAAGAAAGATTCTAGGCATGAGCCATCCATATGCATATGTTTATTTGAATAGTCACCTAAGAAAGAAATATGAGAAATGAGAAAGAAACACTCTAAGAATAGAGATAAAGAAAAGAACTAATTCTTTTAGAATAAGAGAAAGAAAGAGTTAGCACTAGAGAAGTGCTAAAGAAGAGAAAAGAGAATAGGTTGTGTGATGGGGAGCCCGTCAGTGTAGAAATTAACCACATGTAACCGCCATGAGAGAGCGGTATCCGCCATGAGAGAGCGGAATGAGAATGAGAAAAAGAATTCATATAGCCGTGAAAATACATGTGGGTGAGGGCTATACAAGAGAGAGAGTACACTCACATGACTAAGGGTTCTGAATCCATGCATCAACCAAGACCGGTCGGCGAAGAATAAGAAACCATGAGAAAAGAATAGAAAGAAAAGAAAAGAGAGAAATGCATTGTTATGATTAGTGCATATGCATCCCATCCATGCATGTTAGTATGAGATTCTCCATGGGTGATGAGAATAGAAAGAAAGAAAAGAATAGTGAGAGCTAAAAGTAGAATAAGAAAAGAATTGAAGAGTAATACACGGGGACTATGGAATAAAAGATTTACTTACTGAGCATTTTTGTGCTCACCCCGTTATTTTCTATGTTTTTACAGGTCATAGGTGAGGACTTGGTCGGATGGACGTTGGCAAGTGGAGAGACTTGGCTGCACTGTCCACTGTTTTGAGAGTCTTCTTGTACAAATGATATTGTACTTTGTAAAGAATGTATATATTAAGTAAAGAAAAATTTTTGGGCCCTACTATTTTGATAAGTATACTTGTCTTTTCATTAATATATTTAATGATTTTGATAGTAGAAAGAAGTTGTTACAAGGATGCTTAACTCGAGCAACAAGCGTTGCTCTGGTCGAGAGGCTATGGAGATAAGCCATGGCTATAGAAACAACACCTTAGGAGAACAAAATAAAGAAATCAAATAAAGCTGAGAAAACTAAAAGTAAAAAACATAAGAATGTTAGAGTAGGTGCTCTAAAGTCAATTAATTATTGTAGAATTGACTCTTTATAATAATATTTATTAATCAATAAAATGTTAGAATTGACTCTTTATAATAATGTTTATTAATCAATAAAAGACATTTTAAAATCATAATTGTGTGTATTGATATATGTCCTTAGAATGGTAGAGCACGATCCTAAAGCATAGCTTGTTCTGAGAGCATAGCTCGATCAAAAAGTATGGAGAACTTGATCTGAGAGCATAACTCGATCAGAAAGCATGAAGTGTTTGATCTGAGAGCATTGCTTGATCAGAAAGCATGAAGAGCTTGATCTGAGAGCATGGCTCGATCAAAAAGCATGGAGAGCTTGATCTGAGATTACGACTAGATCAAAAAGCATACAGAGTTTGATCTGAAAGCATTGCTCAATCAAAAAGCATGGAGAGCTTGATCTAAGAGCATGACTCGATCAGAAAGCATGGAAAGCTTGATCTGGGAGCATTGCTCGATCAGAAAGCATGGAGAGCTTGATCTGAGAGCATTTCTCGATCAGAAAGCTTGGAGAGCTTGATCTGAGAGCATAGCTTGATCAGAAAGCATGGAGAGCTTGATCTGAGAGCATAGCTCGATCAGAAAGCATGGAGAGCTTGATCTGAGAGCATTTCTCGATCAGAAAGCTTGGAGAGCTTGATCTGAGAGCATAGCTTGATCAGAAAGCATGGAGAGCTTGATCTGAGAGCATAGCTCGATCAGAAAGCATGGAGAGCTTGGTATGAGAGTAATGCTCAATCAGAAAGCTTGGAGAGCTTGGGAGCTAGAGAACTAGTGAGCTCTTTCTAATATGAGAGATTTGAGCACATGATCTGAGCGATTTGGCTACGTGATATGAAGTTAAAGATCAGAGTGATCTAAGCGCGCAATCTGAGCGATCTGGCCACGTGATCTGAGAACTCTGATTTGGAATATGCTTCAGTATTTTGATGATAACTTGAGCTGTATACCTCATATTTGGATGATTCTTGGACCTTCGGAAAGCTAACTCGAAGGGCTACAATTCTTATGTTTACCATTTATCCAGATTCAGACTTTATCCTGCTCATATTTTCACATTTGATGACGTGATTCTAGATTAAGAAGTTGGGATCTGTTAAAGAAGTTGAGACTTGAGGGAAAAACATTGAGAGCTGTTGTGAATCAGGCCCTTCTTCTAGCGCCAAAATGTTGATACAAAAATCTGTACCAACCAGAGAATTCCGATTGACCCTGTCGGAACCGGAATGGATATGCGCGTGATTCGGATAACTAGCAGTGGATAAATAATAAATGCAATAAAGTAAATGACAGAGAGATTTTTAAAGTGGTTCGGCAAGTTAGAACTTGAGCTTACGTCCACTGTTATCTTATTGTTTTTGAGAGCTTACAATGAATAGTATAATTCATAAGAAAATTTGCTTAGAACAATTGCCCAGCCCCTCTTGAAAACAAGTTATGATGGGTTTATATAACACTCATTTACATGATAGAGTTGAGATAAGATTCAAATACGTAGGATTATGAAGTTGCATGATCTTCAGCTACCTTAGTTGGAATCTAAGTCAATCTGAATATCTTCCTTCCAAATTGAGTTAATCTAATTGTCTTCTCTCCTAATAGGGAATTATCCTCTCCAGACTGACCGCACAATAGTATGATTACTTAATTCATTATAACATTACATTATAGTACGATCACATAATTAATTATAACCATTACATAATGAAATGATTATTTAACTAATTATAACATTATATTATAAACATTAGTAATTTACTACATTAGTACAATATTTAATTAAATGATTAGAAATTTAATTAATCATAACATTACATTATAAACAAATGATTACTTAATTAATTATAACATTCTATTATAAATATTAGTACAATACTTAATTAAATAATTAGAAATTTAATTAATTATAATATTATATTAAAAATTTATAGTATGATTACTTAATTCATTATAATATTACATTATAGTATAATCACACAGTTAATTATAACATTACATAATGAAATGATTACTTAATTAATTATGATATTATATTATAAACATTAGTAATTTATTACATTAGTACAATACCTAATTAAATTATTAGACATTTAATTAATTATAGCATTACATTATAAATTTATAGTATGATTACTTAATTAAATGATTACCTGATTAATTATAACATTCTATTATAAACATTAGTACAATACTTAATTAAATTATTAGAAATTTAATTAATTAAAACATTATATTATAATTAAATAATTACTTAATTAATAATAACATTACATTAGATTATAATCACTTAATTAATTATAAATTTATAACATTATATTATAAACATTAGTAATTTACTATATTAGTACACTGCTTAATTAATGATTAAAAAATTAATTAGTTATAATATTACATTATAGATTTATAGTATGAGTACTTAATTAATTATAATATTTCATTATAAACATTAGTACAATACTTAATTAAATGATTAGAAATTTAATTAATTATAATATTAAATTATAGATTTATAGTATGATTGTTTAATTAATTGTTTGTGTTTTGGTTTTGATTGACGAATTTTATGTGAATTGTGATGAATTGATTGAATTCAAGTGTTGCCTAGAGATTAG